TCTGGGGAGCAGGAGGAAGGCAAACACTACAGAAGTGTTCCTGTTCTCCTGCTGCTGAGTCAGTCTCTGAGTCCCTGAGGCGACTCCGTGAATCAATCACTGAACAGCACTGGCACTCAATAAACCCCATCCCGCTGGGCTGCATGGGAGCCAGAGCTTCCCAACTGGAGTCTCCCAGCCAGCCCTCCCCAGAGCAGCAGTGCTGGGCTGTCAGGTGCACTCCTTGGCGCTGCTGCTGGCCCCAAACCTTCTCTGTGCCATGAGGTTGAAGTGCTGGGCTCCAGAGGTGGCTCAGGCCATCAGCCTGTTTGCAGGAGCCTGTGGCATTCCCAGGCTCTGAGGGCTGCTCATTGCAGGGAGGTGGAAGCTCTTCGGAGCAGAGCAGAGCTGCAGGGGGAGGCTGGCAAGTGCCCTGTGCTTGGCCAGGTTTCTGTGCCAGCGACACTTGTTACTGAACAGTGACTGTGTCAAATGGGTCAGGTGTAAGTGGAGAGCTGGCTGCTGAGAGCCAGTGCCTGGCTCCTGCTTGGAGCCCCTGCATTGGTATTGCCAAGTCAAACGTTCCGTTAAACAATTAGGCTACAAGGAGTGATGGCCAGGGGACAGCAGGGGGCCTCGGCCTTGGCTCTGCCTCTCTAACATCAGTGCCTGGTTGTATAGTTAAATCCTGCTCACCTCTCATGGCATTGCTCCATGGAAATCCCGTGTGAGCCGAGTGCAGGCTGAGCAGCACACACACCTCCGAATCCAACCAGCTGAGCCTGCAGAGAGCTCGGGCAGGGATCTGATGGAGGGAAGAGCTCAGCAGGACTTGGTGGAGAAGAGCCCGTCATACAGTGGACTGAATGGAAGAACCAGCTGCCAAAGCCAAGCTGCCATTCCGTGGCACGGGAACATCTCACCACTCCTTAGGTTGGCGAACATCAGCGTCTCACATGGTGAGGCTTAGGGCAGAGATCAACAGCCCAGAAACCAGCTCTGGGGAACAGCACAAGAGGGATGTGGAGCTGCTGGAGCGAGGCCAGAGGAGGCCCCGGAGCTGCTGCGAGGGCTGGAGCAGCTCTGCTCTGGAGCCAGGCTGAGCGAGCTGGGCTGGATCAGCTGGAGGAGAGAAGGCTCCTGAAGGGAACACCTTAGAGCAGCTCCAGTGCCTAAAGGGGCTCCAGGAAACCTGGAGAGGGGCTTTCCTGTTTGAACACACCACATCTGGGACCTTGTGACGGGCTTGCAGCCTGGGGTGGTTGGGAAGTTGAGATGAGCTGAGGGGCTGGAAGCTCCAGAGCCCTCTCACGGTGTTGTGCAGAGCCTTGTGTGACCCTGCTGGAGCTGAGCACGCTCTGCCTCTGGTGAGTTAACAGTGGATAGTTTCTTGGTGGGTCCAAAGTGCTGCTTAACTCCGCTTTCCTCAGCTCTGGTGCATGGGTGCAGAAGCAGAGGAGCTCTCAGACTGCATTGAACCCATGTCCAGGGGCTGATGCTCCAGAAGAAGGTGCAAAGAAACCCTGAGGTGAAGTGGTGTAGCCACCGAAGCCCTTCTCTGGCTTTTTAAACAGTGCTAAACCGTGGTGGCTCTTTCTTTGTCATGTAAATAGTGACCCTGTCCCTGAACCCCTGTCAAGTGTTTGGTGTTGGTAGGTCTGTGCCAGCTCCACTTGCTAATGGTGCACTTTCATTATTACAAGGGAAATGTTCTGTTATTCTTAACATTTGGCCTTTTTAACTCAGGGCATTCACCCTGTTGTTTGTGTTGATCCTGTGGGTTAAGCAGGGAAATTTCTTGGCTGTTCTCTAACAGCTTCGAGTTCGGCTGCAGCCTGGAGAATATACTGCTCAAGAAGCATCAGTTTACACCTTTAGCAGGGAGGGAGGCATCTTCCCAGTTTTTACCACATCAAAGCATCAGCCTCCTGCATCTGCTGCATCATTCAGCAGTGAGACACTTCCAGGCTGTCATCTTATGTACAGTCATGTCAGGAAAAGTCACTATCAAATTGCCATCTTCTTGCCTCAGGTTATTGGCTCTTTGCTAACCCTGTCACTCCTGCTGGGAGCACTGACACATCCCAGCCTCTTTGGTGAGCTCCAGCTTGTGAGAGGAGAGGCACCCACAGCTGGGTGAGTGTTTGCAGTAGCTCCTGTGGTGGACACAATAGGAGGGAACCTGCTGGGGGGGGCTGTGGTCACCAGTTTAACTTGGTGACAAGCAGCTCTGCTGCTGCTTGGCTGTGGGGTGATACCTTCTTAAGCTGCTCATATTGCAGGGCCTCATCACCCTCCTCTCTCTGCTGCTGTTCCTGTGCTCTGGAGGAGTGAGGGCTGGCCCATCTTCCTGCCGAGGGAGGGACCTGAAGGGTTATGTGCAGATCTCTGCTGGGTGGCCTGCTCAGTACCTGTGGTTGTATCTCACATATGGTGGTGCCTTGTGCAGGAAGAAAACTCATGCAAAAAGTTGCATGGGGAGAGAAGATAAATCTGGACTCCCACTCTGGCATCATTAGAGAGGTGCTTCATGACTCCAGATGCTCTTTTAATTGGCTGTAGTTAGACCTTGAAGCAAACACCCCAGTGAGAAAGAGGGTAGAAAGCACCTTCACACCTCTTGCTGCTGCAGTCTGGCTGGCTGCACAACCATGTACAAGGAGTGAGGGCTGGAACTGTTTATCAGAGTCACATCTTGGAATAGCTGTTGGTATTCAGGGGGTATTTCTAATCTCCTGGTGGTTTTGGTGGTCCCTGGGTGGGCTGTGAGTGCTTCAGAGGAAGAGGAGACCAAAGACAGAGCCAGACAGCTGCCTGTACCTGCTGCCTTATTTCTCAGCCTGAGGTTTGGAGCATTTTGGAGCAGTAACTCCTGGAGCTGGGTGGATGGGGAGCCAGCTGGATGTGTTCCTATCCTGGGCACCTGGGCGAGCATGAGCCTGGAGTTGTTCCACTGCAGCCAGTGTGAGCTTGTCTGGATGAGACAGTGAGTTGTAGCTGCTCCCACCAATTCCTATTGTGGCACTTTGGGGCAGTGGCCTTGGAGCTCCCTGTTCTGGAGAGAGGCTGTGCCAGTTTCTGGTCTGATGTTTGTTGGATGAAAAGGGAATCTTGGTGGCAGCAGAGGTGGGAAACGTTTATCTCTGTGATTTTTCCTCCCTGCCTCATCGAAGCCTCTCACAACTGCTGCTTGTCGCCTTGCTGAGGTGAGATGTGCCCAGGTACTCACTGCATGGAGAAAGCTGGAACAAGGGGAAATAAGGTGGCGCTAGTCAGGGTTGCCTGAGAAGTCTAACCTGGGAGCTGAGCTTAGTTTAGTGCCCAGCTCACCAGCCTGAGCCTCCCTTGAGCCTTCACCACAACCCAGGCTGTCGGCTTGACCCCAAATAGCTCTGCTGGGGCTTTGCTCTTTGGGAACAAGTGTAGGAGGCTTGAACAGTGTCCTTATCTCCAGGTTGCAGAGCAGCACCTTGCCACCAGCCCCGCAGCAGGCTGGCTGTGTGGTGGCAGGGAGTGCACTGTCACCCCTCCCAGCAGCAGCAGATGAACAGGCTGGATGACAAATGATCCGTCTCCAGCTGCTCATTGTGCAGCACATTTCTGCCATCCCTATTAATATTCAACAGGCAGATGAATAATTGGTTGCCACCACTAGGATGAAGTGATCCTTCACTCTGCCCAAACAATATTCATTTCACACCCTGTCTGGAAACCTATAATATTTTCCTTAAACGTGTGACATATGGTGGTAGGTGTGGAGCAGGCTCCTGGTGGGCACGGCTGCAGGTGGCTGCACTGGGCTCTCCTCTAAATGGGATCAGGGCTCCTCCAGAACACTTGTCCATGGAGGGTTTGGTGAACAGGGTGAAGGGGAAGGACACCAACTGCCTCTGCTTCCTTTGTATTAATACCAGTGTTTGGTTTTCAAAGTATCACGTCCCTTTTTCTGTGAGGTGGCTGGAGATCTAACAGCTCTGAGCGTGTCCTCAGCCCCGACGTGCTGTCAGGAGTGTGGCTGTCAAGGACTTGTGCTAGACCTTGCTCCCTGTTCCTGTCCATGCCTGCTTGGTCACTGGTGAATGCCCCATCCCTGGCAGTGTTCAAGGCCACGTTGGACACAGGGGCTTGGAGCAACCTGCTCTAGTGGAAGGTGTCCCTGCCCGTGGCAGGGGTTGGAGCTGGAGGACCTTTAAGGTCACTTTCAAAACAAACCAGGCTGGGATCCTGGCTGAGTGGGGACTGGGGAGCTTTGCTAACTGGGCAGCTGTGGGTTTCTGCCCACGGGGAGGGACGGGGGAGTGCTGGGCTGCCCCACTGGCTCTGTGGTGTCCTGCCCAGAGAGGACAGCGCTGCAGGACAGGCTGCCTGCGGGCATCCACCCCTCACAACCTCCCCAGGGCAACGGAGGGCTTGAAAGCTTGGAAGCAGCTCAGGCTGCCCAGCCTGCTGGTAGACAGCAGAGGTTTCCTGCTGCTCCCCTTGCTCGTTCCTAACTCACAGGAGAAAACACAGGAACTTGTTCGCCTCTTTCCATCCCTCTGCTGTGCTCTGCTGTGACTGTGCACCTCAGCTGAGCAGGGCTGGTGACAGGCTCCTGCCCTGGCTCTGCGGGGCTGGGTATGCATCACACAGCATGAGCCTTAACCAGAGCTGGCGGCGTGTGGCACCCCGCGGGGCTGCGCACACCCTGTGCCTCGCACCCGC